TGGGTGCTGGGAATTGAACCCTGGCCCTCTAGAAGAGCAATCCACAGTGCTCTTAACCACTGAGCCATTTCTCCAGCCCATCTTTGCTTTTTAAACATTTAAGGATTTATTTATTCTTGATTCTTTTGTACTCGTGAAGATATTCTTTCTTTCTTTCTTTTCTGTTTTTTTGAGACAAGGTTTCTCTGTGTAGCTTTGGTGCCTGTCCTGGATCTCACTTTGTAGACCAGGCTGGCCTCGAACTCACAGAGATCCACCTTGCTCTGCCTCCCAATGCTGAGATCAAAGGCGTGCGCCATCACTGCCCGGCCGTGAAGATATTCTTTAAGGCCTATGGTGTGGTTTTAGAGAATGTTCCATGGATTGTTGAGAAGAATGTGTATTCCACAGTGTTGCATGCAATGTTCAGGAGATTTCTGTTAAGTCCTTTTGACTTCTGGTACAATTTAACTCTGCATTTTCTTTCTGATTTTTTTCAGTCTGAAATGCAGATCTTTTGATAACAGTGAGTATTGAAATCACTCACTATTAATGTATCTGGACTTATTTGTCTTCTCATTACTAGCATTATTTAATAAAATTATGGACCTTAATATTTGGTGCATATATTTTTATACTACTAAGTTCTTAACAGATTATTCCCCTACATATTAATATATGGGAACATGTATTGTGACCTGCCTTATCTATTTTAATTTGGGGTCAAAGTCTAATTTATCAGATAGAAATATACCTATTCATGACTGGTTTAATTTTCCACTTCCTTGGTATATTGACTTACATCCTTTTATTTTGAATCTCTTTGACAGTGAGATTAATTATACAAACAACTTAACTGATGTTGTTTTAAATCCAATCAGCTATTATTTTTCTTCTTAGTAGAGAATTCAAACTATTAGTAACTAGGATAGTTATTGGGAGATTTTTGGTAATTCTAGTAATTTTCTCTGTTGCTCATATACTTGGTTAAATTGTCTGCTCATGTCTTTCTTCTGCATTATTGTTTACTTTTTACCCCTTCTACCATCTTATAAAATCTTTTTTTGAAAATTATTATTTTTATATGTATGAGTGTTTTGCCTGTATGTGTGTGCATACTTCTGTGGAGTCAAGAAGAGGGCATGAGATACCCTGAGGCTGAAGTTACAGCTGGGTTTGAACCACCATGTGGGTGCTGGGAACCAAACTCTGGTCCATAGGAAACTAACAAGTCTTCTTCACCCCTGAGACGTCTTTCTGCTTCTGCAACATGTTCCTTCCTGTACTGTGATGGATTACACTGTCTTCTTTTCAGAGGGGGCACTGGGATGCAGGTCTGTAATCCCAGCACCTTGGAATGGAGTAAAGAGGATTCGGTGTTTAAGACCATTTTCTTGAATGAACTACATTATACATGGTATCAGAAGATCAAGTGTCACCTTGTATGGTGGTGTGTTGTGGATCAAACCTATGGCTAGATGCACGCAAGGCAAGAGCTCCAGCAACTGAGCCCCAGCCCCAGCCATTCTGTAGTTTTGACATCATTATGTGTGTGTGTGTATAAAGTTTTTATCTAAGTGTCTGTATATGCACACATCCATTATACCACTGACATACCCACCTTCTAGTTCAGGAAGATTTTTTAATACCGTGTACTTTAATTATTACTCAAATGAAGATCAGCAGGTCAGTTTTTTCACATATCCTTTGAAACTATATTAAAGAAGGTAGACAATGAAGTCAAATAAGTTCCTCTTCAGCTCTGAATTTCTCTGCTGGTGTTAGAAAGTTCTCATCTACTCTTGAGTTTTATGATACACAATGCTCCCCTAAACTGAAAGTTCTTTTATTGTCTCATAAAAGGGTCAGAGATGTACTGATCCATTTTAAAAATTAACTAATTTTACATCCCAACTGAAGTTTGAAGTAATGTTTCTTTTCTGCAAGTTTGTTTTTGTTTTTGTTTTTTTGTTTCTTTGTTTGTTTTTGTTTTTGTTTTTCAAGACAGGGTTTCTCTGTGTAACCTTGGCTGTTCTGGAACTCACCATGTAGACCAGGCTGGCCTAGAACTCAGAGATCCACCTGCCATTGCCTCCCAAGTAGTGGGATCAAAGGCGTGCACCACCACCACCCTTGGTAGTACTGACCTTTTTTGTTTATTCATTCTCATTCTACTTTCTCTCTTCTGTATACATCACTAGGCCTGCTCCTTGCTAGGCTACATCTACATACAAGGGGCTCATTTTCATTCACTATAACATGATTTAGGTGCTTCCCCAGAAAACACTCACTTTGGGTCAATCCTGGTACGTACAAGACAAAAATACAGGTCTTCTATTGTCTGGAGTCACATCAAAGCCCTCTGTAGGAGATCCTGTCCCTTATGATCTGGGAAGCATGAACGGGCAGAAGCCCATGAAGATACCAAAACTTACTTTTTTTTTTTGGTTTTGCAAGACAGGGTTTCTCTTTGTAACAGCTCTGGCTATCCTGGAACTAACTCTGTAGACCAGGCTGCCAGCTGACCTCGAACTCACAGAGATCTACTTGCCTCCCAAGTGCTGGGATTAAAGGCATGCGACACCACACCTGGCTAGATATCTGAACTTTCTGTTTCACATCTTTCTGTTTTAACGCCAGGAGCATTGCCATATTAGCTCTAACTATGGCTAGACTTTGATGGTTAGAGAAATAGCCATGAATTACAGAGGCAGGAGAAACGCACAAGCCTTGACAGATCAAGACAAGACAGTATTGAGAACCGAAAACAACCAGATGTGCTGGTGTACACCACAACCCAGTGCTCAGGGGACCGAGGTATGAACTTCAAGAGTTTGAGACACAGGGAACAGGGAGGTTCTCTGTGAGTTTTGAGACCAATCTGGTCTACAGAGGACTCCAGGCTAGCAAACTGAGAACCTGTATCAAAATAACATAAGCGGGGCTGGAGAGACGGATTAGCAGTTAAGAGGACTGACTTCTCTTCAGGAGGACCTGGGTTCAATTCAGAGCACCCACATGGCAGCTCCCAACTGTCTGTAACTCCAGGATCCAGCACTCTCACACAGACGTACATATAGACAAAGCACCAATAAAATAAATAAATTTTAAAAAAAAGAATATTTACAAAACTTCACAAACACATCAGTCAAAATGTAAAAAAAAAATAATAAAACATAAACAAAGAAAGAAATTTCAAAACAATAATATGAAACTAGTTTTAAGAGCCAGGTGGATCTCTGTGAGTTCCAGACCAGCCTGGGCTACAGAGTGAGTTCCAGGAAAGGCGCAAAGCTACACAGGGAAACCCTGTCTTGGAGGGAAAAAAAAAAAAAAAAAAAAAAACACACACACACACACACACACACACACACACACACACACACACACACGCACACACACAAAGAAATGACCAAAAGTAAATAAACAAGCACAAGGGAGGCATCCAGGCAGTGGGACCAGATCTTGTGCTCATTGCATGAGTTGGCTGTTTGAAACCTGGGGCCTATGCAGGATTGTTTGGCTCGGCCTGGGAGGAGGGGACTAGACCTACCTGGACTGAGTCTACCAGGTTGACCTCAGTCTGTGGGGAAGGCTTTGCCCTGGAGGAGATGGGAATGGGGGGGGGGGGGTTGGGGGGAAGGTGAGGGGGACGGGAGGGGGGAGAACAAGGGAATCCGTGGCTGATATGTAGAACTGAATTGTATTGCAAAATAAATTAATAAAAAAAAAAAAAAATAAAAAAAAAAAAAATAAACAAGCACAAAATTTGATGACATATAGCCTTCAATAAAACAGGTATGATGGGGCTGGAGAGATGGCTCAGTGGTTAAGATTAGTTGGTTTCTAGCAGAGGACCTGGGTTTCATTTCAAGAATGCACATGGTGGCTCTCAAGGGTATGTACGTCCACTTGCAGGGCATCCAACAACACTGTCAACTTCTTCCAATATCAGGCATGCGTAGGATGTCCATACACACATGCAGGGAAAAGCTCACATACATGAAGTAAATAAGTAAGTCTTTTTAAAATTTCCTACATACATAGATACAATGTGTCACTTTTTATTTAAAAAGTTTTTCATGCAATGTAGTTTGATCATGTTCTTTCCCTTCCCCCAACTCCTCCCAGACTCTTCCCACCTTTCCACCTGCCCAACTTCATGTTCTTTCTCTGAAAAAAAAAAAAATTAGCTGGGCGGTGGTGGCGCATGCCTTTAATCCCAGCACTCGGAGGCAGAGTCAGGCGGATCTCCATGAGTTCGAGGCCAGCCTGGTCTACAGTGTGAGATCCAGGATAGGCCCCAAAACTACACAGAGAAACCCTGTCTTGAAAAAAACAAAATTAAAACTAAAACTAAACAAACCAAAAACAATTTAAAAAAAACCACCAAAACAAAGTGCGCACGCGCGCGCGCGCACACACACACACACACACACACACACAAAGTCCGTTTTCTGTTGGCCGTCTACTCCTGGGCATAGAGTTTGCCCAAGAGTGTGGTTGACATACCTAACGACTGTCCAGTGGAGAAAACTTGATTTTCCTTTTCTCAGCAGGTATCACTTGCTTCTCGCTTAGAAATGGGATTTTGTGGGCACTCCCCTTGTCAGAGCTAAGATTTCGTCTGGTTTGAACCTGTCTTGTGCATGCTGGCACAGCCTCTGTGGGTTTTATACCAGTCCTGTTGTGAGCAGACTTTCTCTTTCCTAGGAGCCATCCACTCCCTCTGGCTCATACAATCTTTTTGCCTCCTCTTCCACAGAGATCGCTTGAGGGGAGGGGTTTGAAGAAGACATCCTATTTAGGGCTTAGGGATCCAAAGTCTCTCGCTATCCGCACACTGTCCAGTCGCGGGTCTCTCAGTTAATTACCAGCAAGAGGCTCCTCTGACGAGTAGTCCACCAAATGCTGGTCTGGGAGAAGGTTCTCCAAATTTGAAGCCTTTTAAGTTTTTTTCCAGTGAATTTTCAGGTGTTTAAATTAGATGACTAAAGGACTTCCGCATTCATGGCTCCCGTTCATCTCTTGTGAACCTTCCGATGTTTATAGAGGCCAGAACTATAGCAATACACTTTGTCACACTCCTTGCACTCATATTGCTTTGTGGCCGTGTGAACTCTCTTGTGTCTAAGGAGGCTGTAACCTGAAGTAAAGGCACTCCCACACTCATTGCACATGAAAGATGTGTTATGAACTCTCCGGTGTTTCACAAGGTGACAATTCTGGATGAAACACTTTCCACATTCACTGCACTGGAAAGGCCTTTCGCCGTTGTGCACTCGGCCGTGGTAAAAAAGGTTGGATTTTTCCTTGAATGACTTTCCACATTTATCACACTTGTAGGGCTTTTCACCAGTATGACGTCGATAATGACTTACAAGGCTGATTCTGTTCCTATATGACTCCCCACATTTGCTGCACACAAAGGGCTTTTCTCCAGTATGAACTCGATAATGACATATTAAGCTGGATTTGTTCCTATATAATTTCCCACAGTGACTACACTTATAAGGCATTTTCCCATTGTGAGCATTCAGATGATGAATGAGAGAGCTTTTATAACTGAAAGCTCTTCCACACTTGGTGCATTGAAAACGCTTTTCTCCAGTGTGAGTGCTCAAGTGTACAACAAGATGGGCATTTTGGCGGAAGGATTTCCCACACTGACTACATTTAAAAGGCCTCTCTCCAGTGTGTATTTTCTGGTGTCGAATAAGCTGGAACTTGTAACTAAAGGCTTTGCCACACTCACTGCATTTAAAAGGCCTCTCTCCAGTGTGTATTTTCTGGTGTCGAATAAGCTGGAACTTGTAACTAAAGGCTTTGCCACACTCACTGCATTTGTAGTTTCTTTTCTTGGTGTGAATGGACTCTGCATTCTCAGAGCTTCTGTGTGGCTGCCTGGCACTGGGGGTCATCTGAGACTCAAGAAGATTTGAGGAGTCCTGGAAGTCCATCACATCGTTTGTGCTTTGTGAAATTTCTGATGGGTCACTTCTGTTGGTCTTCATGGCTGGGATCCTGATATGTTCTCTTTGTAGGGGTTCATCACCACATGTCAGCTTCTGCTGTTCAAGCATGGCTGTGTTAATCCCTTGTTCTGCAGAAGTACTCTGCTCAATGGGTGATGTATCGCCCTCTCTGTTCCAATATCCTGAACACAGAGAAATACTGATGAATGGATAGAGACCACAGAGTGACAGACAACACATATTATTAACAATGGTGTGACATTCTTCACAAAACAACGGGGATAGTGCAGGGTAGTAAGGGCCCATTACCATGCTGAAATTGTCAGGATCATAGTTTTCTAGGGGCCTTAGGGGCAGCAAGCACACAAGCATGGAGCAAAGTACAGGAGAAGAGGTGCAACCATAACACACTCGTTGGCAAATGGCTTTCTGTAAGCCTCAGCTGCTGGAGATGCAGGACACAGTGCAGAAGTCTGTCTAGGCCAGTAACACAGGATAACCAAAGAATCTACATTCAAGGACTGCTCAGGGTATACCGTGCACTAACAACACAATCAAGGAAATCCTGTGCTTCACAGTGTTGCAAAGACTGATCCATGAGGAACAGCTTTGGTTTAGAATAACAGGGAAAACTGAGATAGAGTCTGCCGTTATCCTTTGCCTTGGCACCAAAACATCAGAACCAGTCGAAAGATACTTCATATGAACTCATCCTGAGTGCATACATAAGCAACATCCACCCTCCAAGTACCTGTCCATATACCTGGAGTCAGGAATCTCAGTGCATGGGTGAAGGGATCTCCTGAAGACTCCAGGTGAGTGATGTCACAGATCTCAGAAGGTACAAGTCCTAAAGTGAAACAGGACAAATGAACACTCCATACTAGATAGAACAGAGAGTGATGCAAACCATGACAATCCATAGGAAAGGAAATCAGTAAGAATGATCCTTGGAGAAGTGGCTTGCAAGAAAAACCCATCAAACAATGATCACAGTAGTGTAACAATCACTGCCACAGGCACACCCAATGTATGTCACTTGAAGGAAGAAAGTAGTACCTGGGTCATAGGAATGCCATGTATTTACAGTATCACCAGGCCATGAAAGCCATCAAGTTGACCTCTATTATGCTCACCATATGGCTCCTGATCCCACATTGCTTCCTATGGACCCTTCTGTACTCAAGAGCAAGAGAAGATGGAAATGTGGCTTGGAACCCAGGATTATCACCTGTATCCTGTACTCCAGGACGGTGGGGAAAGATTCACTGAACATGGTGTAGCTTTGGGAAATTACATCCCTCTGCAGAAAAGAAGTCAAGCCCTTCAAAGACATGTTCTGACAAGATGGGATGCCCTTACCCAATGAGGTCACCATAACGAAGATCTCCATCATTACTCTGCGGTACAGGAACCTCTGAGAGTCATCAAGAAGTGTCCATTCTTCCTCTGAGAAGTAGATAGCCACGTCCTTAAATGCCACACAGTCCTGCCACAATGAGGATATCTGAGTTCATATGATGCCTTCTTCTGTGGCACTCCAAGACATCTCCAAGACATCTCCAAGACAGTCATTCACACTTAGCTTTGTACTTCTGAGGGCACCAAGCTCTGAAGCCACAGAAATCCAATCTCTCAAGGTTCCTTTGGCCACTGTGGTCAACAGCCTAAGCTAACAAGTAGATGGACAGAAGAAGTCCATCTACTCTTACAGTATGACACCAAAAGGCCCTTGTTTCACATGGGCTCCGACAGATGACCTTACCACATATGACCATTGTACTATGCCAAGGCACATGGGCTTGGAGGCCATCTATGCACACTCTCAGCATACACTTTACTATTCACTCTACCTGCATTTCTATTCAGCATTCAAGTTTGTGAGCCATGTACACCTCCTGTCTTTTCACTAAATCCAACAAAGACCATGCACATCTGTGGATTTCTGAGCATTCTCAATCCATCTCAGTTCCAGGCATTCTTTATATCTTTTTTCCTTTTTTCTTTTTCAGGTCCAGGCTTTCTATAATGGTAGTCACTGGATTTTTTTTTCTTTTTTCTTTTTTTTTGTTTTTTAAGATAGGGTTTCTCTGTAGCCCTGGCTGTCCTGGAACTCACTCTGTAGACCAGGTTGGCCTCGAAGTCAAAGAGATCTGCTTTCCTCTGCCTCCTGAATGTTCGGATTAAAAGCATCCATGCCCAGAGTCATAACTAGAATTTTAATGCCTCTGATTTTAAGAGTTCTGCCAAAAGTGGGAACTCTGCAGGCTAATCTTATGTCAACTTGACACAGAAACTAGAGTTATCTGAAAGAAGGGAACCTTAACTGAGAACATGCCACCATAAGATGCAGCTGTAAGGCATTTTCTTAATAAGTGATAGGTGGGAGAGAACCCAGCCCGTTGTAGGTGGTTCTACCCCTGGGCTGCTGGTCCTGGGTTCTGTAAGAAAGCAGGCTGAGCAAGTCATGGAAAGTAAGCCAGTACACAGCACTCCTCCATGACCTCTGCATCAGCTCCTGCTTTCAGGTTCCTGCCCTGTTTGAATCCTGTCCTGACTTCCTGTGATGATGAACAGTGTTGTGGAAATATAAGACATAAATCCTTCCCTCCCCAACTTGCTTTTTGGTCATGGTGTTTCATGTCAAAGCAACAGAAACTCTAGGACAGAACCTCCACCTATAGTCCCTGTTCCGGACTCTGGGACCTTATAATATTCAGTAATCATCTTCCCTGGCAGGTATATGAAGAATAGGAGAGCAGCAAGCAGAGTCCCAAGCCATGTCAGTCTCAGAGATCACTAAAGAGGGGACAAAATGGGGTGCATCATGGGGCACTGTCTGTTGCACGAATCCTAAATGGTCTTATAATAAAAACTCAGAGCCAGATATCAGGGTGAAAGTTGAAAGATCAGAGAAGCAGAGTGAGCCACCTCTTAACTCCCCAACTCCTCAGCCTGCAAGAGCCTGAAAAGACCTGAGCTCCTGTCTCCTCCCACCTTATATTCCTTTCTCTGCCCAGCCATATCACTTTGTGTCTCAACCTTCCTAGTGCTGGGATTAGAAGTGTGTGATCCCAAGTGCTGGAGTTAAAGGTGTGTGCCACCACTGCCTGGCTGTTTCTCTTTTAGACTGGATTAATCTTGTGTAGCCCAGTGTGGCCTTCAACTCACAGAGACCCAGAGAGATCTCTGCCTCTGCCTCCCGAGTGCTAGGACTAAAGGCCTATGCCACCACTGCCTGACCTCTATGGCTAACTCTGTCCTCTGATCTTCAGACAAGGTTTTATTTCTTAGGTTACAAGCAATACATCACCACAACTGTCTACTTACCACTTCCTCATTGCTAGGTGTCACTGAACCAAGAGGAAACTGGGAAATAACAAAGCTGTGAGCAACAAGCAATGGTGTTGGTATCCCCAAGGTTCATTTAAGCCCTCAGATCTTAAGTACCTCAGTAAGGTACACCCAAATGGCACCTGAAACCCAGTCCTCAATGCAATCTCTTTCTGCATGCTCTTGGGTAAGGAAACAGTGTCCTCAGTCTTGTCTTTTGGCACATAAGGAGAAGAATGGTGCCCATGTTGCCTGGTGAAGAGGTGCACATCTTTAATTCCAGCACTGGAAAGGAGTAGGCAGGCTTATCTTTGAGTCTGAGGACAGCCTGCTAGCTACAAAGATTCGTGAGTTCAAGGACAGCTGGGGCTACACAGTAAGATCAAGTATCAAAAAAAAAAATTGATACTCATGTGTTTATGAACATTCCGTGAATATTATTATGTCATACTCAGTCCCATGTGTCACTCAGCACAGTACTCAGCAAAGGTGTTTCCTACACACATAATTACTTTTTGGAAGTGTTTTAGCAGAAAGCCAGATGTCGTGGCACAAGCCTTTAATTTAAGCACTCGGGAGGCAGAAGCAGGTGAATCTGTATGAATTTGAGGCCAGCCTGGTCTACATAATGAGTTCAGAATGGTTGGCTTTATTTATGTATATTTAATGAAGAATAATACTACACCAGGCAAGGTGGCACAGCCTTTAATCACAGCACTCCAGAAGCTGAAACAGGTGGAATTCTGTGAATTAGAGGCTAGCTATAATTGGTCCACATAATGAGCTCTAGATAAGCCAGGGCTACAGAGTGTGACCTTGTCTGAAATGAAACAGAATAAATGCAATAATCAGCACATAATCAAACACTGAATATGCTTTTAAGCAATGTTAGGTGCTTACAATAATGTTATATCCATGGTAACATATACATATGTGTGTATATCTATAGATATATATCCATCAATAGAGTCTCATTATGCATGTATGGCTATCCTTGAACTCATAGAGATCAGCCTGCCTCTGGGGTCTGAGTGATGAGATTAAAGTTTTGTGCTCCCCAATCCAGTCATGCTGTTTTAATTGCTACTGTTTGATTATGGTTCTTGACCAGATCCTGTTGAAATGGATACCTTTTGATCTGCTAAGTTCCACAGTCCAGAATCCTACACTCTATGATAAACTTCAAGCCTGCACCCAAAATCTACATAGTGGAGGCTTTCCTAACTCTAGATCCTGCTTCACCTCAGCTCCCACCTGATGTAAGACTTTTTGATTTTTTGTTTTTCGGAGACAAGGTCTCTCTCCATAGCCCTGGCTGGCCTCAAACTCACAGAGAGCCTCCTGCCTCTGCCTCCTGAGGTCTGGGCTTATGTGCATCACCATACCTGGCTGATACAAGACGCTTAATATTCTCCTTCCCAGACATCAGCCTGTGTTGGCCCTGGTGTCAGTGGACCGCCCTTCTTTATCCCCACCTCACACACTTCCCTCAGAACTCCAGAAGCGAATGAGCAAGCTTCCCATATGGCATTATCATTCTGAGACTCTCAATATCCCCAAGGATGAAGTGATCTCAATATGTGAAATTGCTGCAGCACAAACTCCCAATCAAAAACAAACAAACAAGCCGGGTGGTGGTGGCAGCGGCACAAGCCTTTAATCCCAGCACTCGGGAGGCAGAGCCAGGCGGATCTTTGTGAGTTCGAGGCCAGCCTGGTCTACAGAGCGAGATCCAGGAAAGGCGCAAAGCTGCACAGAGAAACCCTATCTCGAAAAACCAAACCAAACCAAACAAACAAAAAAAAAAAAAAAAAAAAAAAAAAAACCCACCTCACGCTTTTATATCAATTTCGCAGCTGCATTTGCCCCAGCAGGGTGCCCTGATAGCTCAGATTTTTGTTGTTGTTGTGTTTTGGGGGTTTTGTCTGTTTGTTTGTTTTGTTTTTCGAGACAAGGTTTCTGTGTAACAGTCCTGGAACTCACTTTGTAGACCAGGCTGGCCTCGAATTCAGAGACCCGGCTGCCTGTCTCCCAAGTGCTGGGATTAATGGCGTGTGTCACCACTGCTCAGATAGATAGATAGCTCACATTTTAAAATCCGTCTAGAGATCCGATCTCTCCTCTCCACCTTTATCTATGGTCCACACCCACCCCTACTTTTGCGCACAAGATTACAGACATCGCAGGTCTCTGCTTTGTCTCCACCCACAACATTCCGCTTCCTCCAGGAGGGTTGAAGCTTTGAGAAATAGATCGAGCGAGTCACCAGCACCTTCACAAATCTAACTCAGCTGCTAGGTGGCGCTGAGCCCAAGCCTGCCTGCAAGCCTTGGGAGGTACACTCCATCTCGGTGTTCATTAGAGTCAGATGGACTTCCTAGTACACAAGTGTCTGAAAGGAGACTCTAGTAGTCCACCTTAGAGCCAGCATACCACACAGTCTAGGATCCCTTGCCCTGCCCTGCCCCGCAGGCTCATGACTTCAGGGCTCTCTCCCTGAGCTCTTGGATTCAGGTAGGTCCAGGACCACGTGGCACTTACCTGGGGCTGTGGTCCTTGCTCAGCGGCTGCCATCAGACTCTGCTGGCCAGCAGGGGACAGGGACTCAGGCGTCCTTGAACCAGGCACTCAGCGGATCAACACAAGGGTGCCGCAGCAGAGGTCAGACACACCTTGGTACCAGACGATAAGGCTCTTCTCCTTTGGCAACTGCCCTGGACTACTCAATGTGATACCGGTTTTCTGTGCAACAGAGTAACCCAACTAGTAACTTTGAAAAGAATCTTTTACCCGCAACGCTAAAAGGCCCGCCCAACACGTTTCGCAACAATGGAAATGTCCATTTTGATTGGCTGAGCTAAAAAAAAAAAAAAAGTTTCACCACACAACAGCCCTGGATATACCACACTCCATGGCAGGCCTCAAGCTCTGGAACAGTTGGCCAATACAAAAGGGACTCCGTGGGGTTTTGTTGTTGTTGTTGTTGTTGGTAGTGTGTGTGTGTGTGTGTGTGTGTGTGTGTGTGTGTGTGTGTGTGCACCCCTCCCCCCCTTTTTTTTAAATCAAGAAAGTATATGAAGTTGGGTGGGAGTGGGATCTGGGAGGAGTTTTTGGAGGGGAAAGAATATTACCAATATATTGTATGAAAAATTAAAAATTAAATTTGTTCAGCCAGTGAAAACGGGTGAATCCGTAACTAAAAATAGTTTCGAATCAGACTTACTTATGTTGCCTGCAGGTAATCCCTTTCAAAGTTCCTGGATGGGTTGGTCAGATCTGCACAAACTGGTTTACCCTGTATTGACCAGGACAGGAAGGCAGGAGAGGACGAAGTCTGAGCCACTCCAAGTGACCTGCTCAAGCCTTCGGTAGCGACTGCCAAGTTCTTCTGCCTTGCTCTCCAAAAGAGTCCCAATGCAGGAGCATGTCAGGATGCCTGTATCCAGTGAATTCTGACTGATCCCTGACCTGATTGCTTGATTGTCCCAAGGTGTACGTCATAAACTGGAACACAGTGACATGATCCCATATAGGGACTCATCCTGGTAGCCTAGAAGGGAGAGCTTCATCTTTGCCACTCTAGGATTGGGGATTTCTCCTCTGCACCGAGGCCCATTAAGGCACTTGGGGACTACAACCTAAATTCTAGGTCTAGATGGAGAATTGATTTTGTTTTGCTTTTTCAAGACAAGAGTTTCTCTGTGCAGCCCAGGTTGTCCTGGAACTCACAGAGATCCTCCTGCCTCTGCCTTCCCAGCTCTTTATTTATTTATTTTTGGTTTTTTGAGAAAGGGTCTCTCCGTGTAGTTTTGGTCCCTCTCCTAGAGCTCGCTCTGTAGAACCAGGCTGGCCTTGAACTCACAGAGTTCCTCCTGACTCTGCCTCCCGAGTACTGGGATTAAAGGCGTGGGCCACAACAGCCCTGCTTTAAAAGAGTTAATTCAAGCCGGGTGGTGGTGGCGCACGCCTTTAATCCCAGCACTCGGGAGGCAGAGCCAGGCGGATCTCTGTGAGTTCGAGGCCAGCCTGGTCTCCAAAGCGAGTTCCAGGAAAGGCGCAAAGCTACACAGAGAAACCCTGTCTCGAAAAACCAAAAAAAAAAAAAAAAAAAAAAAAAAGTTAATTCAAATGCTAGAGAGAAATGGCTCAGAGGTTCAGGGCACTTGCTGTGTGAAACCCTAACAGGAGCCACACTGTTGTTAAGGAGCTACATTGTTATACATTGTTATTAAGTCTCCATATCTTGCAAGAAAAAGTTTCTGTTTCCTAAACCTAATATATCCTGCAAACGATGTTTCTCAGTCTACTCTGAACTGTGACCCCATGACGTATGGCCACCCCCTTTGCCTTGTTAAACACCAGAATCTGTGATTGCCCTTTTGCCTTAGGAAAATGTGTCTTTGCAGATACCTTGATGACGCTCCTCTTCCACATGATGGATTCTTGCACCTATCGACCCCACAGGCAGCCTTGAGCCCTGAGTCCCCCAGTCTTCCCCAGCAGGTGCTAACAGCTAATTATCTCATCAACTGTTTTCTATCAACCCTAACCCTTCCCCATGAAAGGGACCTCAAAAGCCAGTGAGAGGCTGCTCTCTGAAAGCCTGACTTTGAGAGAGGCAGCCAGCTAGCCAGTCTAATTAAACTGGATTTGGTTTTGCTCAGGTCTAACAGCTACTCTTGCAGAGGACCCAGGTTCAGGTTTCCCCAGGGAACATCTATTTCCAGGGCATCTGACGCCCTCTTCTGCTGCACACAGGCACACATGTGGTCCACTTTTAGACAGGCACCAAAGATCCATACACATAAAATAATAAATCCCTTTCAGTGTTGATCCAGCTGGGCTTGTCAATCACCTGTCCTAGAGGAGTTCTTACCCTCTTTCACCGGGAATTCTCCACCCTCAAACTATCTGAGTCCCATTGAGTTTAATAACCTGTTCTCCATGGACTCCCTCCATGCAGACACTGCCCAGCTTCCCTCAGGCAGCCTGCAGAGCTTCCCTTCCTACTTTGAAAAGTATCCCGTCTTTCCACTACTGGCCAAAAACTGGTTGTACTTTTCCGGACACTGTCTTTTCTCATTTTTTTTTTTCTCATTGGTTCTCCAAACCACATCTCTTCCAGCATGAAGCTACTGTGTACGTGTCCTTGCTTCACAGTCTCCATTAGTGGAACATGTCAACCCCGCTCAGACTCAAACGTGGCTTCCCATAAGTTTTCTCCTGGCAGCTGCTGAGAATTATAGTTTGTCTTGTCTGCTCAAGTTTTTTGTTTGTTTTGTTTTCTTCTTACAAACACTGGGAAGTTAGCTTTGAGCTTTCTTTCTAGTCCATTTTATATTAAAAAGAAATTTCTTTGCAATTCTCTCTTCACATTTTTTTTTTTTCATTTTGTTTATGTACGTTCACAGTTGGAAATGGGGGTCAGGTGAATCTCCTAGCGTGCAGTTTGTCAGGCTTGGTGGCCAGCATCTTTACCTCCGGAACCATCTCGCAAGGCCCTATGTTTGGTTTTTTTTTTTTTTTTTTTTTTTTAACCTCCGTAGATTTTATTTTAATTTCCATGACTGTTTATGAGCAGGAATGGACATGCATGTTTGCCTCTAGGGGCAATGGAAATTGGATCCCCAGGAGCTGAAGTTACTGGCAGCTGTGAGCTACCAGGACTGGGTGCTGGGAGATGCACTTTGTCCTCTGGGAGAGAAGAAAGCATTCCTGACCATTGGACTATCTCTCCAGTAGCAGCCCCATCCCTGGTGATTTATTTATTTGAGACTGGGTCTTACTTTGTAGCCCTGGCTGTCCTGGAACTTGCTGTAGAACAGACTGGCCTTGAAATCAGAGACCTGCCTGCCTCTGTCTCCCAAATGCTGAGATTAAAGGCATGTGCCACCACAACTGGCACTATCTATCTATCTATCTATCTATCTATCTATCTATCTATCTATCTATCTATCTATCTATTAATCTATCTATCCTAAGAGGGGGCTGGAGAGATGGCTCAGAGGTTACAAAACCTGACTGCTCTTCCAGAGGACCTGGATTCAATTCCCAGCACTCACATAGCAGCTTATAAGTGCCTGTAACTCCACCTCCAGCTGATCTGACACCCTCACACAGACATATGTGCAGGCAAAACACCAATACACACATAAAATAAAAATAAAATAAACAAATCATTAAGGAAAAAAAGTCTAAGAACGCAGAGGTGTGTACCACCATGCCCGGCTTCCATTGTTTGTTTGTTTAGTAAGTCTAAGAACCCAGAAGAGGAAATTACAATTACTCAAGTAATGGTTTAAATTGAGGATTTAACCACCACTAAAGGGTGGTCAGTGGAATCAGGACTTAACCACCACTAAAGGGTGGTCAGTGGAATCAGGACCAACACAAAGCCTGGCCTTGTATTGAAAGAGAATTTTGATACTTTTACTCTTTTTTAAGAAATTTATTTTTGTTTCATGTACATTAGTGTTTTGCTGTGAATGTAGGTCCCCAGGAACTGGAGTTACAGACAGTTGTGAATGGCCATGTGGGTGCTGGGAATTGAACCAGGGTTCTCTGGAAGAGCAGTCAGTGCTCTTAACTGAGCCATCTTTCCAACTCCTGACACTTTTGTTTCTAAAGGGCTATGAAGGAACAGAAGGGTGAGAAGGGCCTGTTAGGTGGTACTTCCTCCACAGGGGTGGAGATGAATGACCAGTTGTTCTGACTGGTAGCTACAGCATTCAAGTTTCTAAAGTGTAAGGTTCTGGGCTGTGGTTGAGACATGGCTGTTGGTGGGATGGATTTGGCTCAGCAGGCCTTCATGGCCATTCCTTGAGGAGAAAAGGAAAGTCATGCAGTGAGAGCCACCTATTTGTGCCTCACCTCCTCAGTCTTACACAGAGAAATGATCCCCTGTCCCTATGGAAAGACCCTCAGCAGAGTTCCATCCTTGGGAGTGTACCCCTCAGAGCTGACTCCTCAGGGCCAGCCTGTGTTTATTCACTCTCAATTTTCAGGCAAGTACTTGTTGACACACCCAGTACTGGGTCAATATTCATACACAAATGGGCAACTAAAACACAATTGATAAAAGATTATTGAGATCTTAGCATTGGCTTGAAAACATTTGGCATTTGATTCAAGTCTTTTATATTTATGTGTTTGTTTGTTTATTTGTTTTGAGACAGGGTCTCTCTACATAGCCCTGACTGTCCTGGAACTTACTATGTACACCAGGCTTCAAACTCAGAGAGATCTGCCTACTTCTGCCTTTACAATGCTGGGATTAAAGGTATGTACCACAGCACAAAGTCATCAATCTGTCAAGATTTAGGCATTTCTGCTACCCTGACAGATCAAGGTAAGGCAGGGTTGAGAACTGAAAACAGCTAAGTGTGTATGAGGACAAAAGTTAGGCTTTAAGTTTAAATTACTGTGCTTAAGAAATCTATAAAACAAAAATGCCTCTAACCTATAAGTCTCACTTGCCCAAAGACCAATAACTTCCTGGAGTGCTGGGGGCTGTTGTTTATGTAAGATAAAAGCCACAGGTTTTCACTCCTGGAAGCTAGGCTGGTTGCCCAAAC